GGGGCCAAAGTCTTTATAAGTGGCCTCAACGTTGGGTCTAGAAGTTCCAGATCAGTTCGCACAGTGACACGACACCGTCCATGACGTCCGTGTTAAAGCCGTGTTTAACTGTGTAACAGAATATTACACAAAATGTAATACTTTTGTTGTATTTGCTTGTATGTTTGATTCATTAGTTATTAACCATAGACATTCTGTAACATGTCCAAGGTCACATTCTCATGTCTGGTATCGTTACAGGTATTTGCAAGTAATTATAATATGCTTGAGATTCTAATACAGTTTCTGAGGAAAATAGTCCCGTCCTACAACACTCTTCAGATACAAGGTCCAGACAACGCTGGACTTAACTCAGGCAGTATGGCCCAGTGGAGATGATTGCAAGATCGTCTGCATAGGAGACGATCTTGCACCCCACTGGGAGGTGTATGTTGAGGATACAGGAGATTAGGGTGTTGAATAGGGCTTGACTGAGAACCCCACCCTGTGGCATTCCATTTTCTAGGTGCATGTGCTGTGATAGGTGACTTTGGTATCTGACTCTGGCTGTTCTGTTCCTGAAATAGTCACCTATACAAACCAAGAGCTTTCCTCAGATTCCCTTCTGGATCAGGGCCTCCTGAATGGCAAGGGGACTTGCTAATTCAAATTCTCCAGGTCAAGGAATACTACCACAGATGTGCCAGTACTAATTGTGCTTAAAAGTGTGGCTAGGCTGTGTGCTGTGCTCATGCCCTTGTGAACCCATGGAGGTGTTCATGCGGGGGTCCCATTTTCCAGGACTTGATGAGTTGCAAGAGTGCAAGCTCACCTGCTAGGCCTAGATGGGAAACGATGGGTACGAAATCCCATCAGAACCCGGGGCTGAGCGAGAACTGTTTTTGTAGGATTTTCTTAGTTCCCCCAGAAAAAAAATAACATCTGAGTTATTGGATACAGTTGCCCTTTCTCTGATATGAGTAAGTGTGCCTGGTTGTAGGCATTCTTCTCTTGCCCTCAATTCAGCTGACAGACTGTTGCTGCTTGTTCTCGCAGATAACTTGTGCACCAATCTGTTTGCCTCTGATTGAGGGTCATGATGTGTGCACCTCGGGGCTAAGCGGGTGGTAGCTCGCATGACCCGTTGCCATAGCTCTATGAGGGTGGTTTGGTCGTCGAGAGACTTACGCCATTCCAGCCACTTTTCCTGCCTGACTCTGTTGGCAGTTTCCTTGGCATCCCTGACAGCCTCCCTTAAGAGGGCTAGGTTGTCAAGGGTTCTTTGCCTTCATAGTTGTCTTCGGCAATGTTTACTCTGTGGTAGACCTCCTTAATCTCGTCATTAAAGTACCAGGCGTCTTTGTGACTCCAGGACCCAGGCCGATTCTTAGGTATGGTCTGTGAGGCTGCTTGATTTATGGCACTGATAAGTCTGGCTTCAAGCACTTCTACATTTTCACTTTGTGGGGGTTCATTGCATCTAAGACATTGTGCCAAGGTGTTCTGAAATGCCTGCCAGTTGGCCTTGTCTGTTTTCCATCTTGGATTTGGTTGTAGCATTTGGGCTGGGACAGCATCCATGAGGGTAGTTATAGTGCCATAGTGGTCACTTGTGACAGTCTCATTGACACACCAGCTGTTTTTTTCCACCAGAGCCACAGTGGCCAAGGTGAGGTCTAGACCCCTCTTCTAATATGCGTTGGCTCAGGTATTAAGAAGAGCGATCTGAGTTAATGTGTCAAGCACATTGGCTATGTGATAGCCAGCCACTTCTGGTGCCCTGCAGGGAGCCAGGCTGGGGTGGTGTGCATTGAAGTCTCCCCTATGATCACTCAGGCATGTGCTGCAGTAGTTCAGACCTGGCTGATGTCTAAGTTCCTACAGTGTGGCCTGCTGTACACATTGTACAGTTTGAGGGGGCCCCCGGCCAGGTGAATCTCAGCAGCAAGAGATTCAACATCGTCTCAACAGTGTGGTGCATCGGCTATTGCGGAGCAGGGGATTGTTTCTCTGACTAGGGTGATCAAGCCTCTTTTGCCAGTTGTGCGTGACAGCATGAAGACATGATACCTTGAGAAGCGAATAGTTTCCACTGATAATATCTCCTGGAACACGACAGTATCAATGTTCCTTGATCGTACTATTGCGTGGAGATTGACAGTCCTTAAATAGAAGCCATTGATATTCCATTGTTGTGTGTCATGATGTTACTTGGTGTTAGTTACATCTGAGATGTCATTGTATTCGGATTGAGAGGTATCGGAGTCTGACAACTCCATTGTGAAGTCCTCGCTGATTGAGGGCTCTTCATCAAATGATTTTGGGCTGTTCGTCAGCCTATCCCTGGCACCACTGGGGGGTGGACAGCCTTTGGTAGCTCTGACATTTGTTAGTTTGGCTTTTCTCTCTTCAGGCTTTGTCTGTGTATCTATCTTTTTCTTTGCTGGCTTTACCTGGGTAAGGTCAGCATGTTCTGGCACTGGCTGGTCAGATTCAGCCTGGTTTGGCTCTGCCTGTGAGGGCATGGAGAGGAGTGGAAGGCGCCTTGGGCTAAGCGAAGACCGCAGCGGTGGATTGTATCAAGATGAGCAAGGAGGAGGTAGAGGCAGAGTAGTAGATATGGCATCAATAATCGAGAGTGGAGAGGATCAAGATAACATGAAGATGGAGGAGTTTTTTTTTTATCTGAGCGCCAGGATATATGGGAGAGAGTCTAAGATTCGGTGGCAGTAGCGAGTTTCTTCTTTAATGTAAAAGATATGGTCTCGCCAGGACAATTTGGAGTAAAATATAATGCCAGGGAGTTTGCCAGATGAACGGTATGGGAGTGGATTGCAATATAAGAAGAGGGGACGTTGGGGACTTACACGTGTGCGAGAGAAAAAGATGGAAAAAGATTTGGAGGTAGAAAAGCGGAAGCCATGGTTAGTGGCCCAGGAAGATTGAAGGAATAGACGGAGATTTGGTATGGATATGCCAGAGGCGAAGATGGTTAAATCATCAACATATGGTGATGATTGGGCCCCTAGTGAGAGGTCAATGCATGAAAAAGATTGCGTGCGTATGTCAAAGTGGGGGGGGGGGGCGGCGATCTGAACTAAGAATATGGTCAGTTGTGCAGAGGAAGCGCTCTAGGGATCGGCCACGGGAGTTGGTGATCGAATCACCCCAAAGTGTGGCAGCAGTTAAAATGACCAACTAAGAGAAAAGATGGTTTGAGTTGGGAAATTAGATTTTCAAAGGCAACAAAGTCAATGGGGTGGGAAGGGGAGACGTAAACTGAAATAATTGGTTTGGAAGGGAGATATGACATAAGGTGTTTTCTGATGGATAAGTATAGACGAGACAATGTGTGTGAAATGTGAAGAAAAAACAAAATGGTAGTTGGGGATTGGTATAGGAGGATGTGTAAGAAAAGTTTCTTGGAGGCAGATAATGGATGGATTATAAGAAAGGATGTGACAAAGGTCAGGTCTGTGAGAACGGAAACGGCGAATATTCCAATGTAGGAGAGATATACTTTAGTTGATCTATGAGTGATAACGGTTACAGCGCGTGTTGGAGAATTTGAAGGGGAAGGAGCTAGAGGGTGAGATAAGGAATAAGAGGGGGAAGGTGGTGGTGTATCAGGATGTGGCGGATCTTGGGAAGGGCATAGTTGTGACATCAGGGATTCACGTGTATATCCAGGAGGGAGTGGAAGGGGTAGAGGGGATAGCAGGAGGGTTAATGTAGCTGGAGCTGGAGCTAGGGGGGGGGGGGGGGGGGCTGTGTTGGGAGAGGGTAGGAGGAAAGAGTGTAGGGAGAATATGAGTAGTTTTGGCGTCAGTTTGGGACTTGAGATGGTTTTGAATATCTTTAAGAGTTTCTGTAAAGGACTTGGTTGGAGAGTTTTGCGAGACAAAGGTTTTCTTGTGAGGGGGAAGAGGAGACTGGTGTTTGAGGAGTAGAGAGAGGTAGGTGAAGGTGAGTATGTGGATTAGGTGGAACGTTTAGTCTGTCTGCTGTGGGTAGTGCGAGGAGGGAGGGGGAGTGTTGGGGCTGTAGTAGAGATTGGGGTGTCTGGATTTAGAATGGCAAAAGAATTTGAAGAAAGTAGAAATGGGGAAGTAAGATGTAGAAGGGACAGGTTTAGGGGAGGGTGTAGGAACATCTTGGGAGGGATGGGGATGGGCAGAGCGAGCAACATTACTGGAGTAGGGAGTAAGAGAAAAACCTTGTCAGCGTGCTTCCTGTCTGGCTTCACGCAGAGTGAGACCAATTCTGAATCTGAATGTTGCCACCTCAGACTCAAACTTGTGGGTGGGGCAGCCCCTATAAAATACAAAATGGGGACCACCGCAGTTAGCACATATGCGTGACTGTGCAGAGCAGTTTGACCGAGTATGACCAGGTTGGGTACACAGAGGGCATCGAGCTGTGGAACGGCAGTGATTGACAGGGTGTCCTGATCGCCAACAATTTTGACACTGACAGGGAGAGATTCTCTATCAATGTAAACATTAAAGGGGAGGTCATGTCTACGGAAAGTAATTTTGGCAATGTTGGTGGAGTTCTTAAGGTGACCTTTAGGAGAAATGGAGTAGCACTGTACTGACATCAAATCATAGTCTATGAGGCACAGTCTGACCAGTTTTTGTTATAAATAGGGCAGTTTGCTAGGGAGATAAAGACAGTTCAAATATTGAGGGTTGGATGAGGTTCTGCTGGAATAGGGTTGCCAGAGAAATCTGTTAGGATTGATAATGCTATAGCTTTCAGATGTAACCGTGATGAGACCAGAACGATCAGGTCAGCTATGGAGGGGTTGATCCCCTACATTGGGCCTCAGTCCCCATTTCAACGAGCAAGGGATGGGGGGGGAGGGGGGGAGGAGACTATATTACAAGAATAGTTTTCCCAACATAGCTACATATTAATACTCTTATCTGTACTCTAAGCCATGCATTTATAGTCATTTGTATTACATTATCTGGGTTACATAAAAAATACAGATGTGAAAAGGATATAAAAACAGCTGGTGGCTCATAACACCTAATTTATTATAAAAGGATATCTAGAACTACACTGGTATATTTTTCACATTTTAGTGTTTTATACGAAATAGCAGAACCTTCAGAAATTTATAATAAACTGACAAGTGACAAATACTCTTTCCAAGTCACTGGTTATAAGGCTTGGGAAAGATTACAGCTCTAGTGATGGGCTCCAAAAAGTGTTGATGGTGGTCAACATGCCATCAAGCTCTCTGTTGAATCACAAGTTCCCACAGAAAGGAAGGCATTCAAATATGGATCAGACTACACAAACACTCAAGTACCCTCCTAAATTAGTGAAGTTCTTGTCGTCTGTTTTACATAATATAAAGCTTAGGAATTGGGGCCCATTACTTGGTAATGCTTCACCAACAGAACAAGTCAGTATCCACTTCCATATCTGGAAGATTAGCAACAAAGCAGGAAGATATTTTTTTGTAAAACTTCAACAAAATAATACGAACAGTGAATGATAATTAGGCTTGGCCCTGGGAATCTCACTTCGAAGTTCTCTTCTGTCAAATCTTCATTATGGTTTCCTACCTGATGTTCCATCCCATGAACTTCCCAATTTCAGATATTTCCCTCATATGCAGGTCCATGGGTCACAAGCTCCATTTGAAAACTTGTCTGAGGCCCATGAAAAATAACTTAAATTCATATTTTCTCCCATGTAAGTGCTATACTAAGTGATATAATTGGAGAATTATTATAATACTATGCAACACTGAGGTGCATGACAAAATGATCACTGGAAACCCACTGCTTACTATTATCAGGTCTTGCTTGTAAAAATGTGTGGGGTATGAACTTGAATAAACTGTGAACTAAAATAGTCACACAAAGAAGTAAAGCCCAGTACCTGTTTATCAACATTCCCTGCACTCAAAAGCAGACACTCAAAAAGGTTTGACAATTAAATTTGCAAATGTGTTGTAACATTAAGCCCAATAATTCTCAGTCCCTCTAATTCAATTATTACATTTCCCTGCTCCTCTAAAATCATTTACTGTTAACCAAAATAAATAAAGGACACTTCAACATTCTGCCTCACAAGTAACTCCAAAAAGTACTCTTACACCTTTCATATATACAAGTAATAAAATTAGGGTCTATCACAGAATTTAACAGTTGATGTATTTATACATCTATAGTAGAAAGAAATGCTCCCTGCTGACAAGAATTTAGGACTTCTTTTTCATGAAAAGCAGTTCCCAAAGAACATTCAGAAAGGACTTCCTTCCAATACCAAGATGCAACTTTCAGACTGTACCATTCACAGTGATTTACCCCAAGTTTGGCTCCATTTCTGTCCAAGACAATTATAGGACTTGTGAGAATGGTTGTTACCTGCATACTAGAATCTCAATCCAGTTTCAGAAGACATTGCAAGATAAACTTTTCAGGTGATAATGTTGGCCCTTATGTTTGCATTTTCACTCTTTGGTTACCCTTTTTGAAGTGATCATTCAGCCATTCTAAATATCACAAGCTCTGTTTGAAAACTTGCCTGAGGCCCATATGAAGTATGTCAAACTTTCCTCTATTTTATAACAAGCATTAGGATAGTTTTATCTCCACAGAAGCCAACCAAGGAGCAAGAATCACATAAAAGGTAAATCATAAAAGATGAACATTACTTTTTTATAGATAGAGAAAAGATCAAAATATTATCATCTAATTATTTTTCACCTATTTTCCATAGGTGTCACAAATGACTGTTTCATCTATCATGATTTACTATTATTTCAATTGTTCAAAGGAGCAGCAGGTTCTACACAGCACTACAGTCTTATTTTTGCAGGTCTCTCAAGCTTGCATACTTTAAACTACCACATTCAAAGCCACCCCTTTAATGTCTGTAATTTTCACATTTATAAATCTATACACTTTTGTTTATGTTCACTGCAATGGCTGGCATGGTCACATATAAGCATGCTGCTCAGAGAAATACATGCTGCAAGTAAAAATATATTTTAGTTTATTTAAACAATGATATATCTATTGTTTATGTAAAGGTCACACTCATATATTAACTTTTTTCCCTTTCCCTAACCCTCAAGCCAGAATGTATTCAAACAAAAATTTCTCAATAGAAAAGCAAACATTTAACATTATGACCTAATTCCACCTGTCTTTCTTGGTTACCTTGCAGAATAAATTTACTTGTTTCCAAACACTATTTCAAAGAAAAAGAGTAGGAGGAGAGAGGAGAAAAAATATGAAAGATGAAGAGAAGAGTGAGAGGAGATGAAGGAAGAGAGGGTAGAGAGAAAATGAGAGAAGAGAGAAGAGAAGTGAGACAGTAAAACAAACACTGGAACCATTAGGTGTGTGGTTAATGAAAAACTGCAAGTGGAAATGAACCATGATTTCAAGAATAATTCAAAGAACCCAATATCCAATGTGGATTTTATCATTTTTAACTTAATCCATGAATCTACAAGTTACTATGATGAATGACTATTGAAATCGTGGTTAATTGCTAGATATGCATGCCCATTCTGAGAATGTGAAACTGTGTGGATTGGTTTAACTTTCAATTAAACTAAGCAACAATCAAGCATCTTAGCCATTAAAACAAAAATTACTTTGTACAAACATACATAAATGTTTGTGATCCAAACTATTACATACAATTCTTCCTTAAACTCTTCCTTACACACTAACTCTGGCTTGCTAGTAAACATGTAGCCTTCCTTACAGTTTGGGAATGCAAGACGCAGATAGTGTTTGGAAATTCTGGTTTCAGTGCAACACTGTTTAAAAAAAAAACATAGTCTCCTCTCTCCAACATAAAGTCTGGTGAAAACACATCTGATACAGAAATCGCTGGTTACTACATCTCCAAAACGTAATAACAGACTTGTTACTATGTGTGGTTGTGAGTGTCAGACAGTAAACCTGTTCTTGGCGGTGGATCCAGACTTTAGCATGGTATCTGTGTGAGCTTGGAATCCAATGCTCACCTGCCTGGGGATGTTTAGACGAACCTTCAAGACTTGACTGCAAAACATAAAAAGAAAAAATTAGTCTATATTAAAAAAAACATACTATCTACATTTATGATAATTTACTCCTACAATTATAATCTAATCTATAACACCATATAAAAGTTAAGATGCATAAATACCCAATCCCAAGTTTATTATATGACCAAACAAGTTAGAAAACTGGAAACAACCAATGTTCAGTTTCTGGAAAAAACATGTATATACACTCAAACATATAAGTATATATTAATGGCAGAGATAAATAGATGAGAGGAAAAAGAATGCTTATAGAGAAGTCCACTTCAGCCAAGGTCACACGAGCATCATGCTGACAACAAATCTGCGAAATGTACCCACTTGGTCATGAATATCGCAGCTTATTAATTTAAGAGGAAAATAACAATAACAGCAGTATCTTGAACATGAAAAATGTTAAATAATTGCATTTGCATTCTTAATGGAAATAACTTAACAGTTTTGCACTTTAATCACAAATTATTTCTGACAGTTACTATCATATCTATTATTTTACCATTAAATCTAAACTGGACTACAGTCATGACAGTATCACTTTTTATAAGATATTCTAATCTGTTGTGATGCACATCTAACCTAACTTCTACTGCTGCTTCAATATACTTGTCTTCCTTTGCCTGACTGAATTCTTACATTTCTAAATGGTATACTAACTTGCATATGACTAAAGTATCATGGACACTGTAAATCAAATATGTAATGCATTATATTTCTAAAGATGTAATTTTGCACTGTGTATGTAGGGGAGGGGGGGGGGGGGGGGTACCTGTACATTTGAAGAATTGCCCATGAAATATTAGGGTCTGCAATATAAAATTAAGCCAATTAAGTCATTAGCAACTGACAATGGGTGATGTTTTTTATGCTATGGTGAAAAATCTCAGAGTGGGTGCCACCAACAACTATGTCACACATCCATGTTCAAGTAAATGTTATCACTTGTCTAGCACCTGACCATGAGATGGATAATTGTCCAGGCACAGAACAGTGCACACACTATTGCAGACCCATTCTTGCTATATTTTACCAGATATTTTACACCTCTTTTGCATTTTTTACAATGTGTATGCATCATCACATATTTACCAAGGCCAAGTTTTTGCAATGTCCAAATGGTGAAGGAAGGTACTCGCAATAAGTACATATGATATACCAACACAATTCCTCGTGGATGTGCCAACTTGATATAAATTTAACCAATTTCAAATTTGGATGCAATATTGAAGCATGCATATAATGAAAACTTTTCTGAATCTCTTGTAAATAATTTCAAAATATTCATACTGTAAAAACTACATCTTTAAAATAATTAAGCATATGTTTACTAAACCTCATTTTGTTTGCCTTTATTGAAGTTCATGCTTAAATTGTGTGGGACAATTGATTTTTAATTTCTGGAGAAACCTTCCCCCTCATTTGGGCTTATCCCCAAAATATGCATCTTTAATACACATGCCATATATTTATTTATTTCTTGAAAATTGTATGCCGCATCAACACCTGAGGTCATTAGTGGCGTATTCAAAATATAGCAATAGCATGAGGCTTGGGAGCAAAGCCTCCAGGTAAGGAAATGCTAAATCACATCAGAGGTCATATGGCACTATGGAAAATTAGAGTAGCAAAAAGGGTTAGGAATGAGTTAATGATTAGAGTAAAGTTGAAGGTTGAACAGTACTAGAGGGTGATTTTTATTTTTGATTTTTTGATTTATAAGATCTATGGATCTGTTAAGTTTTTGCAAGGTATATCCCATCTATCCTATATTTATGCAATAAAATACTGTGCACATAAGAATGGATTTTAAAAAAATACATTCTAAACATGATTATATAAAATTAACAAGTAGAAAATTTGACAATCCTGATATTTTTTAATATAATTTTTCGTGGAACCACCATTATGAAAAATGCATGAATAACTCAACAGGCTTTCCCCAAATGAGGACATACAATCAAATTTTTGAATTTCGATTCCATTTATCTTTTGGCTAATATCAATCGGCAAAAAAACATAACAGTACTGAATATTTTCAAGTATTCAATATTTTCAATTATTTATCTTTTTCTTTATTATTATTACTTAATGCAAAGTTTGCCTGTTTACATATCTATGATATTACAAGCACTATTAATCTTATAGGAACTATGATATTCTTTTTCTTTTTCTTTTTTTTTTGTGCTGGGAGGGGGAGAAGGGGAGGGTCCCCATATATTTTATACAAAAATATGCACAACATTAATGCAAAACATTTTTTTTTCTCTCTCTCTTTTTTTTTTGTAAGTTTATTGCTTTTATCACTTAAATAAAATATGGCAACAGTAAGGTGGTGCTTACTGCCTGCAGCAAAGAAGTTTTGATAGATTGCACACTATTATTCTGTAGTTCTCTCACCATGTGAGTTGTGTGAACAAGGAAAGTTCAGACTTGTGTGGTGTCAAGATATACACAATTTTCTACATTTTCTCAGTGTGACCATGCCTTTACATTGGTTAAACATGATGTAAACAAAGAATTTATAGATATCTTACCTTTAGAATCCTTAAATATACATGCTTCCCTCCAAGAATTTGTTTTGAATCCTCAAGTTCTTAGTCTCTTACCTATACTGCATTTTGGCACTTAAAAGTCCTAAATCAAAGTAATACTATGCACACCTTATTCAAGTTTTTTTTTTTTTTTTTTTCCACTTCACATTGTAACTATAATTCATATTCAACAGGTTGGTACTTTTCACTGAATCCTATAAACCTTTAAACATACATGTTGAAGAGAATACAGGGAAAAACATCTAGGAGCATTTATATATAACTAGATTATTCAATTGGAATTTATTTTAGGTAGCCTTCCAAACAACTGAATTGAAGAAGTACAAATAAATTTATTAATCATACAATTTTCTGAAGATTTCCAAAAATGCAAGTTCACATAAAGATGAAAATCTATTAAGCAATTTCATTATCAATCTACAAATTGAGATAAACTCAACATGTAACTAAATATTAAAATAAAAGACAGCTAAATAAAACAAGATCACTTATCTTCACTAAGACGCTGCATTCACTTTCACATTGTATGGCTTGAATAAAACCAAATACTTCTACACTTGAAAACATTATTAAATGTTGGAGGAGAAAAGGGAAACAAGAAAAAATATAAATAAAAGAAAACAAGGGAAAAATAAAATAAATAAAAATAATAAAACAAATTCAAGCCCAACTACACCTATTTCCTATACTGCATTTATTGGAAATACCTTTCACCTTGTCTGTGCTGCTGCAATATCTTTTGTAAAAGTTTTGAATGTGTAAAAAAAAAGACCTCTTGAACAAAAACATCAAACTTCATTAGAGAGAGGGGGGAAAAAGAGAGAAAAAAATAATAATAAAGATGAAAAAAAAATAAATAAATAAATAAAAAAAAATAAATAAACAAAAAATAAAATGAAATGAAATAAAATAAAAGAATAAAATAAATCCAATATTCAGAGGATATGCCATCTAAGAAAATAATCTCACACAGTCTCCTTACTAAATCATGAAAAATAACTCCCCACGCAAAGGAAGTTTTAAAAGGCTTATGATTTTTAGTAAAACAAATATATTTGAGCAGTAATGTAAGTCAATACTTAAATTTCTCATCAGATTCTATTACACCAGAAAATATAATAAATAAAAGTCCTTTTAGGTAAAGCACTTTGGTCACATGTAAAGATCTTAAATTGTGAAGAGGCATCTTATTGCTGAGCCTGTTTTCTGCTGGGCGGCAGAATGAGCTTGGTAGTGAAGAGCTACATGATTGTAGACCTTCAACTGGGATTTACATTTCTCGCTGAAATGGGAAACCAGCAACCTATTATAGTTCTAATGAAATCTTTGATAAGTTATATAAATTGTTCATGGAATTTTATTTATTGCAATGTCTCTAGACTTAAGCTCAATGATGTTTTTTTGTAGACGGCTTTCCCTACCTAATGAACAAGCTCATCAAACATACAAGTGGTTACTTTTAAGAATATTTTCTTTACTGTATAGAAGACACACACCTATCTCTCAGATATTTTCAGAGGTAAAAATATTTTGTGCACTACTGCAATAAGTAATTAATATAGTCCAAATACTAAATGTATTGTTGTTACATAAATTACTGTGAACTAGGTGTGTCCATCATAAAAAAAAAAAAAAAAAAAAAAAAAAAAAAAATCATACAACAAAGTATGTTCTATAGCCCTGCCATTAAGCACTGGACAACAAAATTGCTATCAAACTTGTGTTATTTTCTTAACAAACTATCGAACATTAACATTTTGGTTACTCTGAAACTTAATGAAAGGGCAGGTAATATTAAGAATCTGTGCATAACTGTGCATTTATAAAACATTTTGAAACAAAAAGTTACTTTGTGTTATTACAAATTATCAATCAATCCATAAAAATATACTTAACCCACTGGTGTCAGCTACATGCACTGGTCACTCTAGTTTTGTTCTATGAATATTGTTTACATATAGATGGCTCTACTAATGCTTAGTCACCATGGAATCAATTAGTAGGTCTGATCTTACTACCCCAATTCTTTACATTTTGGGGATTTTTTTTTTCTAATACTTTTTCATTACTCTCATTATCATTATTATTTTAATTATAAAGCTATTAATATTACAAGTTATATATTTTTTCCCCCCCAAAATGAGGGGGCAAGATCAGGTAGACCTGCTAATTGACTTCTTAGTGACTAAGCAGCCATCAATGTGTAAAACAAAATTAATAAATTAAAATCACAGTAGAGTGGGTATATGTACAAACATTCCCAGCATCTGTGGGGATCAAGATCACTACATGTACAGTGTCTACGTCCATTTTCAATCTCTTCCTGTGGATCCATTGAAAGAATAACCTCCCCCCCCCCCCTACACACATAGGCACACTCCCTAACCCTAAACTTATTCATCCATCTCCACATCCTCACTCTCCTGTG